CTTCTGTGATGAGTATCACAGGCATTGTGTTCCCCATCAACATTCAGAAAAGTAAATTTTGCCTCCAGAAGGTTCTAAGTTGCCTGTGCTATTCCTAACAACCTTGAAAAGGAGATTTAATTGACAAAAAGCCACACTAACGACATTAGATCTGTCCTACTTTCCTTGGATATCACTGATGCTCATGACAATAAGTGTGTGGGGAAATTTTCCCTGATGCCTTTGTCATCATCCTCTGTCAAATGTCCTCCCTCCCCATTACCTTTAGGGCCTCATTTGGATATTTCAGTGTGAGATGCTCCAGTGTCTCATTCTAGTTAGTGTCTTTCTTTTAGCCCTTCAACTGTCTGTGGCCCTTCTTTGCACATTGCAGTCTTAACTAAGGGAGTCTCTGATACTTTTACTGCTGTTGCGTTTCTTAGATGCTACTTTTGTGAAGCTTCAATGGTTTCTAGGCAGTAGAAGAAATGTCTTTCACCGAGATCTACTTCCCTAGATTTGAATGATATTTTCATGCCATTTTATCCCACTGAAGTGTGGGATGAGAGTGTGCAGAAACTCTCCATTCCCTTTGGAACTTTGTCTTCCCCCTCTAGCACGCAGACCATATGTCAAATTTAAAGAGAATTGTTGCCTTTAAGGAAACAGAACCTCCCTTACTACCATATTCTGCAAATTATCACAGGCTTATATATACCTATTAATTTATCATAAATTCTTACCTTTGTAGTTTGTTTTGTTTTCTTTTTATTAGAGAGCACAAAAAACACCGTTTGGATGCATTAATCGAGCCTTTGTTCAACTGAAATCACCATATCTATTCCATATAAATTGATGATGAGCCTGGATATTTTCCAAGTTATATCTATTTAAATTTTGAATCCAAATGAAATATTGTATATTTTCCACTTAAGGGAGTTTGGCCCATTATTCTAGCTATCCTATTAATAATATTAATAACTTAGCTTATTAATAATAGTAATTTATTGAGTATCTACTATGTGTCAAGTATTGCTTGAGGTTTAAAATATTAAATTGCTATTAATATGACAAATCATATTGTTAGAATAATAAATTATTGTCAAGATAATAAGAATTTTATTTTTAAATATGTGAGTTTTATTTTTCCCAGCTTAGGTTTTCTCTTTCATATTTGGATAGTATCCATTCTATGTATTTCTCTAAGTCCTATTAAATATGTTGAATAGAAAATGGTGAATGAAAGGCTCTATGTCTGCTATTTGCAATGTTACTTCAGGTCGGTTTCCTTAACAGGAAAACTGTTTGGGAAACAGGTCAGTTTCCCAAACCAACTTGGGTTGGTTTGTCTACCAAGGGCCTTAAAAGATGAAAATATGAGATAGGAGTGTTATTGTCAATATATCAATAAGTGAACATTTTGGGAAAGATTAAGTTTATGTTGAATTATTAATTGGCTGTCTTTAGGAATGGCAGTTTTAGTAACTTTGGACCTAATAATTGAGTTCATATAGATTTATTTTATCAGTGGACACCTTATAAGAATCTTTGTGAAATGCTTTGATGAAATTAAAATTTTCTTATTTTCTATTATAATCTTCCTAGCAATCACCTGAGGAAGATATATCACTAATTCCATCTTACAGAATGAGGTATTAGTTTCCTAGGGCTGCCACAACAAATACCACAAACTGAGTGGCTTCGGACAGTAGAAATTCATTCTCTCATAGTTCTGGAGACCACAATTCCAAAATCAAATTGTCTACACGGGTGGTTACTTATTGGGGCTTAGAGGGAAAGTTTCATGCTTCTTTGTAGCACAACTCTAATCTTTGCTTCCATCATCACATGGTGTTCTCCTCCTTCTGTGTCTGTGTTCTCTCTGTCCCTTCTCGATTTCCTATAACATCAGTGATTATTGAAATAAGGGCCTACCCTATTCTAATATGACCTCATCTTAATTTGCACCTTAATTATATGTGCAAAGACCCTATTGCCAAATAAGGTCACATTTACAGGTAGCAGGAGTTAGGACTGCAACATAGTTTTTGAAGGGGGGTGGCATAGTTTAACCCATGAAAAATAGAGACAAGGGGAAATTACTAAAATTTCAGGAGGCATACATTCAAAATATGAGCCAAGGACTTTTGTCTTCATATAAGATTCTCTGGGTTAGGCTCGGTGGCTCATGCCTGTAATCCTAGCACTCTGGGAGGCCAAGGTGGACGGATTGCTCGAGGTCAGGAGTTCGAAACCAGCCTGAGTGAGACACTGTCTCTACTATAAATAGAAAGAAATTAATTGGCCAACTAATATATATAGAAAAAATTAGCCAGGCATAGTGGCACATGCCTATAGTCCCAGCTACTTGGGAGGCTGAGGCAGCAGGATTGCTTGAGCCCAGGAGATTGAGGTTGCTGTGAGCTAGGCTGATGCCACGGCACTCACTCTAGCCTGGGCAACAAAGTGAGACTCTGTCTCAAAAAAAAAAAAAAAAAAAAACTCTCTGGATGCCAGCTCCCTACCTCCTAGTGAATTCCACCTTAATTTTCATGAATTCATAGACTAACTATTTAATAATTGGCTTTAGAATTTCATGCAGCCTAAAAATCAAGCTTACTAGTTCATGGTTGCTAAAATCTGTCTTCCCCCATTTTTAATAAGTTTTTTTTTTTTTTTATCATTAACTTTGGTTTGTCAAATACTTTTCTTGTTTCTGAGCTAACATAATTAGTCTGGGCCTAGACATTTTAATTTATTTAGAGTGGTTTGCTGATATCTTATTACCTACACTTGTATACTGAGCTTCAATTTCATTAATGATTGTTTTGAATATTCTAGTTTGAAGCATAATTCAGAGTTTTGTAGTTCATTTTTCTTTTTCTTTTTCTTTTTAGTAGAGACTGGGTCTCACCCTTGCTCAGGCTAGTCTCACACTTCTTTTTTTAAATTAATTAATTAAGTTTTTATTTTAGTGTATTATGGGGGTACAAGTGTTAAGGTTACATATATTGCCCATCCCCCCTCCTCGAGTAAGAGCTTCAAGCGTGTCCATCCCCCAAACGTTGCACATCTTATTTGTTTGGTTGTATATACCCATCCCCTCCTCCCCCCTCCCACCCTCCTGCCACCCGATAAATGTTACTCCTATACGTCCACTTAGGTGTTGATCCGTTAATACCAATTTGCAGGTGAGTACATGTGGTGCTGGTTTTTCCATTCTTGAGATACTTCACTTAGTAGAATGGGTTCCAGCTCTATCCAGGAATATACAAGAGGTGCTATATCACCATTGTTTCTTAAAGCTGAGTAGTACTCCATGGTATACATATACCACATTTTATTAATGCACTCATGAATTGATGGGCACTTAGGTTGTTTCTACAGCTTTGCAGTTGTGAATTGTGCTGCTATAAACATTCGAGTGCAGGTGTCTTTTTCATAAAGTGACTTTTGATCTTTTGGGTAGATGCCCAGTAATGGAATTGCTGGATCAAATGGTAGATCTACTTGTATCGCTTTGAGGTATCTCCATATTGCTTTCCACAGAGGTTGAACTAGTTTGCAGTCCCACCAGCAGTGCAGGAGTGTTCCTCTCTCTCCGCATCCACGCCAGCATTTATTGTTTGGGGACTTTTTGATAAAGGCCATTCTCACTGGAGTTAAGTGATATCTCATTGTGGTTTTGATTTGCATTTTCCTGATGATTAGAGATGTTGAACATTTTTTTATATGTTTGTTGGCCATTATTCTGTCTTCTTTTGAGAAGTTTCTGTTCATGTCCTTTGCCCATTTTTTGATAGGGTTGTTTGATTTTTTTCTTGCTGCTTTTCCTGAGTTCTAAATAGATTCTAGTTATCAGCCCTTTATCAGATGTGTAGCTTGTGAAAATTTTCTCCCATTCTGTGGGGTGTCTGTTTGCTCTCTTGACAGTTTCTTTGGCTGTGCAGAGCTTTTTAATTTGATCAGGTCCTGTTCGTTTATTTTTGTTGCTGTTGTGATTGCTTTTGGGGTCTTCTTCATAAATTCTTTGTCTAGACCAATGTCTAGAAGGGTATTTCTAACATTTTCCTCTAGAATTCTAATAGCTTCACACCTAAGGTTCAAGTCTGTTACCCAGTGTGAATTGATTTTTGTGAGAGGTGAAAGGTGTGGGTCTTATTTTAGTCTTCTACATGTGGCTATCCAGTTTTCCCAGAACCATTTATTGAATAAGGATTCTTTTCCCCAGTGTATGTTTCTGTTTCTATGTATATGTCCGTTGCTCCTGGGATACAGTTGCCATAGAAAGCATTAGTCTCTTTCTAGAACCATCTTCCTTTTTCAGTTCTTCTGCTATTTTCCAGTGGATGGTTGGCAATTCAACATGGGATACAAATTGTTAAATGCACATCTTTATTTGTTTATTTATTTTATTTCAGCATATTATGAGGGTGCAAATGTTTAGGTTATGTATATTGCCTTTGGCCCCCCTACCCCGAGTCAGAGCTTGAAGTGTGTCCATCCCCCAGACGGTGCACATCCCACTCATTATGCACAGCCACATTTAATGTTAGTCAGTCAACCAATTAATAATCATTGAGTTCATATGATATGCCAGGGGCTGTACAAAATGGGGATTCTAGAAACTATAAGAAATTTTGACCTTGAGGAGCTTGCATTCTAGTGGGTGGAAGGAATAATAAACAGGAAATTAGTGTGTGCTAATTGCTATGAAAATAATTGAGCAAAGGTGTTGTCTGTATACATGAGGAATACCTTACCCTGTTTTGAAATAATTGTTAGTATCATACTTTTATAATGAATTATTTTCTACCAAATATTGTTCCCTTATCATTACAGATAAAATGTATCTACTTTTTGAAGGTAGATGCTCCTTTTATATATCCTGCTGTGCTTAGGACTTAACTTGTCACATTGAGCACCCAATGTATGTTTTGTAATAAGACATGGCATATGAATCAAATAAGAGCAGTATTATTAGAGTTGAGCAACATTAACTTTTTTTTTTTCATTTTCAGAGTCCTATAAATGTTACAGTTCTCTAGAGAAGAAATCGGAAAGGAAAAGGTTGGTATAATAGCTTGTAAGTGCTAAAACCAGAGTTGATCTAAGAGAGTTTATTTAAAGATATAATTTACAGCATTAATTTTAAATTCCCTGGGGTTTGTGTTTATTTATTCCTGTCACTTTACATTATTATAATATCTTATGTGGATAGAAAGAAAAAGATATTTTTCTAGATACTTTAAATAAGAATTTGGATGGTCATTAGCTAGACATTCTGTTCCTCTACCAGCTTCCTTGTTTTACTTTCGTTGCCTTTAAGAGGTTACTTCCAGGACAGCACTGCTCTTCAGTCTGTGATAGCTCAAGTCAGAAACTGAATGTGGGAAATGCAGAATCTATTGTGGTCTATTTTTCTATGTGACAGTTGTTCCTATTTTGTGTTTATTTCTCCTTTAATGAGGATACAGCTTTCATCCAGGGAGATGTATGGGTCACTTGTAAGTGCACTTAAATACACTAAGGCACTTCACCAGCTGGAAATTGTGACTTGTAGTTGAATTATTTTTGAACAGCGAATGGTTTTCCTTTTGACATATTTTAATATACTTGCACACTGAGAGCAAGAGTGGGTGAACAGAAAACAGACTGTTTTATTAACCCAGCAGTCACCTTTGAGGTTTGTACATGTCCACTTTTTTTCTTGCCTTTGTACATAATCCCAAGAGACTGGTACCTGGCTTTGCTCAGAATAACAAAGTCAGGCACAAATCTCCAAACACAATTGTTAGCTGAATGCCAACTGTTTCTTCTCATCTTTTTTTTTAAACTTGAACATTAAGAATTGTATCTTTATGGGTGAACCGTAACCATTAAAGGATGAGGTTGTTTTTCTATTTCAGGTGCTTCCCCTATCATTTACCAGATTTATTGTATAATATGGAATATCAAGCGATAAAAGAAAATAATTTTTTGCATATTTTGCAGTGCTCCTTTTTTTCAAATCCACTAATAGTGAGAAGAAAAGAAGAAAAATATGTTACAAGCTTTAACTGGACTCCAATTTCACCTGAAAGAACAATTAGGAGAAAAGCAGAGGAGGTTTCAACTCAGCCGGGAAACCAGGGCCCAGCATACAGAATTCCACATGCAGTTTTCATGCAAACCAGTGTTTCAGAGACTTTTTCCAGAAAGACCAGAAATTTCTACAAGTCAATTACCATACTTTTCCCAGGTATATATCTGTCTACATATAGAGCTGTAATTTCTACGTAAATATAGTAGGTAACTACCTCTGAAAAATCCATGCATTTTAATTGTACTCAAAAGTTGAAGAAAAAATAAGAATAAAAATTCACAGTAAGTGACTCATTTAACAGCATGGACATATTAGAGCAACAAAGCTTTCAAAATACATACTTTTTTCTTTCCTGCCATCTATTATTATCTATATCATCTTGATAATAACACTACTTGATATTTTGGAGCGCTTTAAACTTTACAAAGGAGATTTATATCATCTATTTGGTTATTCAAACCAATCAGTAAAGTGTGTCATATGAAGATTATTAATAGTTATACATTTTTTAAAAGCATATCAAGAGTTATAAAACACAGAGAAGTGGTATGGTATATATGAAGGACATGTTCCTTTAGTTAGAATTCTGAGTCTGCATTGCTGGCTCTATGACATTGGACCTCATAAAGCATTCCTTTGTTGAGTTATTCAGTATAAAAGATAATAATTGTGCCAAAAAGTGGTTATGAAATTTGAACATTACTTTTTGTAGAGGGTCTATTATAGTGTGTGTAGGTAGCAAACATATTTTAGATGGAATTTTTGTATTGAGGTAGGGGGTTAGGGTAGGAATCTTTGAGGGAAAACATTGTGAGGACATGATCCTGCAGTTAGTGACTTATTCCAGGTAGCACACCTAGTAAGTGGCAGAAGCAAGATATGAACTTACATATTATGCCCTTGGTACTCTTCTAGGTTTCAGTTTAATTTATTTATTTTATTTGGGGGGTTCATGGAGGAGCATTTCTTGTTTCTCCTCCTCAAGATAGAATCAGTTGCCTACCCTAAATAGTCTAATTATTTTACTGGAGACCTAGTTATAAACTACTTGCAGTTGCACTAGAAATAGAATTCTGGGTGTCACTTAATGAGATTTTTCAAGTTCACATTACTTATTCTGCAGACTTCTTCATTTGAGTAGATTATTGTAATATTTTTTTGTTTTATTATTCACATTTTGGGGGTAAAATATTTCTGTTCATATTCAAAGTTGGTTGAATTATGTGCCAGAGTTTGAGTGCATAGAACTTTCTCCCTTTCCTGTTACTTCCAAATGTGCTGCTGCCTAACATGTCTATAATTTATATTCCAGGAGCAGGTTTTCTGCAGCTGCCAAGAAGTAAAACTTTGTCCTACCTTAGAATGCAAGTAACATTTCATTACCCATTTAATAACAACTTCTTTTTTCCCCTCATTTTTCCATGTTTTTTTGTCTGTGGAGTGAGCTTCTGTCATTGTCTGAGCCCAAAGCAACTATATTCTATTTGAAAACTTTTATGATTATATGGCATTATGTATTTTGGAATATGTTTAAATGTATCCTGGCATTTTGGGAGTTATTTTTCTATTTAATTTGTCACTGGTATTTTACATAATAAAAGTGTATAGAATTAATCTTTTTTAATTCATGGAAATGTAAATTCCAGCAATCATCCCACTGTTCTCTCCCTCCTCTTTCCTTTGTCAATCTACCTCCAGACCCACTAAAAGTACCTTAATTATAGGAAATGTTCTCTATTGTTTCCAAGTCCAGTCATTTATTTTTGAGCTTTCGTGTTATATTTAATACCATGCTAAGATTTGTGGGAGATATAGATGCATTTAAACCACAGAGCTTCCTTTGCAGATATAATACTCATAAAACAATTAGAAAAATAATCAAATAGTAAATTCGATGGTATTAATTATAACTATAAATATGAGAAGTTAGAGAAGAAAGAATTGACTTGATAGTGAGTAGTGAGAGAAAGTTTATGGAAAGGATAGAATTTGAATTGGATCAGAGTACTCAGGACAGGGAAAAAAAGTACTTAATGGGCAGTCTTGTCCTCTTTACCAGGTGGAGTTTAGGTTATGTGGGTTAGACCAGGCTTGATGTAAGTGACAACAGGATTCACGTTAAGCATTCGAGCTTTGGTAGGTAAATGGTATGACAAAAATGATTTAACTACTTCAGCAAAACTCAGAGGGGTTTATGGCACATCATAAAAGATGAGGAACACGAAGGGTGACAAAGTAGCCTAGCCAAATTGCAAAGATTCAAAGAAAGGTAACTGCAAATAGAATGCTTCTGAGACTATTTGGAATTAGTAGCTCAGAATGAAAGGAAAAAGGGGAAGTTAGAGCCAACGGACAAAAAGGAGAGCTTCAATGTTCCCTTACATTCTTGAAACAACCCCAATATTTTCCGAATTTCAATGCACTTTGTTCAAGTGCAATTATCTTGCTGGGCCACTAGGTGGTGTATCTTTGTTAGTCAGTAACTTAAAGATTTTGAAAAATGAGTTCAGCAGTTGCATGTTTTTGTTTCATGTAATTCCTGACATTCATACCTATGGAGACATGTGCATAAATGTTTCCCTTCTCTCTTTTTCTTTTTGGTCTATAACATTCAGATAAGACAAGGGAGATAGGAAAAAATACATATTTAGATCTCAGTTTTTGTGCTTGTTTGGTTCCTTGGCACTTCCCAATCCTGGTCATTGCTCTGTGTGAAGATGAAGCAGGAAAAGGCATCCACTGTTTTGCCTGCTTTTACTGGCACCATCCACTAGAGGTTTCCTACTCTAAAGCCAGTGTAGGCCAGGGTGAGGTCAATGGGGAAGGGGGACAGGAGGCTTGATATTGTTCTCAGGCCATCACCTTGTTTTATTATCCCCAACCCTTGCTGCTTTTACATGCCCTAGAGCAGGAGTCCTCAACTTTTTAAACAGGGGCCAGTTCACTCTCCCTCAGACCGTTGGAGAGTGCAGTGCACATTCCACACATGCGCACTGTGGGCCAGGGATGAGTCTGCTGCTAAGCAGGCAAGGCAGCAGCCGCCAAAACACCCGATGGGTGGGATAAATGTCCTTGTGGGCCGCTTGTGTCTGTGGGCTTTAGTTTGAGGACGCCTGCCCTAGAGCCTCATTTTCTGCCCTGAGGTTCATAAGCTAAGCCACCAGTTAATTCCTCCAATTTGAAAGCCTGCTATATGCCAGATGCAAAGAGAGACAATCTGTCAAAGGGCCTGGTACATAGCAGATGTTGTCAATGCTTGTTGAATGAGTGATTAAATGATGAAGGAATGAATGAGCATTAGTAATGCGGTGAAGGGAATGAGGTCTTGGACTCAGAATGTTGACGGAATGTTTCCATGGAAATCTTTCTAAATGTGTAGTGTGCTCTTTAGTGCTATTATAGCAGGTGTGTATGGCTTACCTGGTCTTTTGAACTTGCTGACATAGAAACCCAACCACCATGGCTAACAATGTTCTGTAGGGAAATACTTTCTGAGTTCCAAACATTAAACTCACTAATGAACTTTTGTTAACCTGTGACTTTATAACGAGTTCTTATTAAATGAAATAATAGCACAGTTCATAAAAGTCACTTTGAAGTGCTTTGTCACAGCAACATGTAATTAACAGTAAAGGCTTAAAGTGCAAACATAGATCCTACCTATCCAAACGCTTTTTTAATGCCAAGCTTCCTGATGATCTTTAATAAACCCTTGCAATTGTAACACAAATTACAGTTTCAGTGGTTTCAGTAAGTCTGAAGACTCCTCCTTAATTTATTTCCACATTTCCTGCAGAGAAGAAATTCTGGGCACCTAGCTACAGCTATACATTTGTTACCTGTTCTGAAAATTAGGTTATCAATTCCACTCTTTAGTACAAGAAAGGGAGGTTATTTCCTTTCCTCCCAATAGCTACATTTTAATGAATTTTTTATTTACTGATTATTCTTGACTGCTTTTTCCTTTCCATTTGACCTTTTGGACCAATCAGGGCTTTTAGCCAAGGATCAAAGAAATTTGAGTCCTGGCTTAGGCAAATCCCAGACTCATTTCTTTTACCTTATTTCTCTGCCTTATCTCTGTCTGACAAAAGATAATCATCACATAACATTAATCATTTGGAACCCTGACCCTGAAATAGTGAGTCTGTAAAACAAAATTTCTTGATAGCAAGTCAATACATTTTAATGCTTCTACATCTAGAACAGTAATTACTTTTATATATTTATTTTTTGTTGAAATGAAATTCAGATAGCATAAAATTCATCATCTTAACCATTTTAAAGTGTACAATGTAGGGACTTCCAGTACGTTCACAATGATGTGCAACTATCACCCGCTATCTAATTTCAGAACATTTTGTCACTCCAAAAAGAAATTCCATGCCCATTAGCAGGTACTCTTAATTTCTCCCTCTTTACATTTCCTGACAACCATTAATCAGCTTTTTGTTTCTATGGATTTTCTGTTCTAGATATTTCAGATATGTGACTTTTGCAATATGTGGCAATATGTGACTTCTTTTGCTTAATGTAATATTTTCAAGGTTCATTCATTTTGTAATATATAACAGTACTTTTTTCCTTTTTATGGCTTAATAATATTTCATTACATGTTTATGCCACATCTTGCTTGTCCATTCATCAATTGATGAACATTCAGGGTGTTTTTACTTTTTGGCTATTATAAATAATGCTATGAACATTTGTGTATAAGTTTTTGTTTGAACCTTATTTTTAGTTCTCTTGGTTTTATACCTACTAATAGAAGATAAATGACTGAGTCATATGGCAATTCTCTGTTTAATTTTTTGAGGACCTTTTATTTTTACACATGCTAGTATTGATTATACTTCTGAAGGCTATAAGATAGGGTTTTATTATGGACCAATAAATATGATTGCTATATAATGCATTGAATTGCAGTTTTAACCTATTAGCTCTTGTGTCTTTTAGCAATAGATGAGATCCGCAAAGCAGTTATTAGACAGTGAAGGTGTCATGAAATTGTATTTTTCAATAAAATTACTGAAGCATAATCTTCCCTATACTGTGCTTTCATTAAACAAATATTCACTGGGTTCCAACAGTGCATCAAAAAATATTTTAGTAACTGGGAATATAGGCAAAAAGACAAAAAAAATCTACCCTA